ATAACTGACAATTTGCACAGACGAATTATCAGAGCGAATTTTCATATACTGTATTATCCTACTATTGTTACACAATTTATTAACATGCTCTTTTTTAGGTTCATTTAGGTTCTTTTGATGACTATAGCAGAAAATAGCTATCGAAACGTCAAGGTAATTTTTCAAATTAATTTCTTTACTAATTGGAATTGTCTCTTACAGCTTGAGCTTAAGTGTGTCGCAGGATACCCTCTAGGTGATAGTTCTTGATTACTTTTTGATAAATAATTCGTTCTTATTGCGAAATAGGTGCACTATTTATCAATCTGTAATAAAAGACGTGAGGAAATTCTGTCTTTTTTAAAGACAAAAATTTTTGAGGCGAAATACCCAAAAAGAAGTTTGTAAAAAAATTAATCCGCCTCAACAATATAGAACTTAACAATTGATCAGTAAAACAAGCACAAACGATATATTTCTTCACTTATACTGGGAGCATCAATGAGCTAAAATTCAGTTTCTTCTATATTGTTGGATTTAGGTCCGCTTCTTAAGGGGGTTCTGTTAGTTGGCGCAGCCCTATCACTATCACTGTTTGAGGCGGAGTCTTCCAGATGTTGCTGTAGTTTAGAATCTAACATCTTGATCCTCTGAGGTCGTTGCAGAGTGGAAAAGTCGCTATCATGATCATCCCCCACTGTGTTCGCAATTTCCGACAATGATGAATCGTTTGATAGTGCCGAGTTATTAGAGTTTGAGTTCTTGGAGGCGGACTTTCCAAGCCTCAAATTTGCCTTTAACGGGGGAACCAAATCTCCTTCACTCAAATACGCGTTGATTCTATCGCTTTTACTCGACCTGTCCGATCTGGTGTCTAATTTGCTGTCGCTTTTTTGCTTGTTTTTTAGCAGTGGGTACTGCTGTATTTCGTGCTCTTCCGCTTGGGGGCTGTTGTCAGAAAATCCGTTGGGATCATTACTAGTTGATGCGTTGGCGTCCCCATATAAGAGACCAGGACGCCGTAAAACGGGTAGGTCTTCATCTGAACCTTTTCTGGATTTATTGCTACTATAGAGGTTGATTTTGTCAATGAAGAACAGCAAAACAATTGACAGCAAAATTGCCGCAGCTTTCAGCGATACAGTGAGGACTGCTATAAATACTGCAAACTGGTCTGAATAGAATTGACATGTGGACTTTCCCCACATTTGACAAAAATTGCCTAAAACAAACCAAAAAAATACACGAATCTGCCGCGAAGGCGACTGAAAAAACCCTACCTGCTATGACATCGTATATGGCCCTAATAGGCAAATAAGGAATCAAACTGATGCAAGTCATATGTAACCCTAAAGCCAGGGCCTTATCTTTCCTTGCAATGCATCGCAAATTAATAATCAGAGTCGTAATAAAAGTCGTGCCCAACAACGCTGAAGAAACCACCCCATGAGCCTGAGCCAAAGCCCAAAGCGTGCTGCAACTATCTGCATCGCATGAACCTTCAGATGCCACTCTTCGGCTTTCACCTGCACAAGTGCAATTTTCATAGATCTGAAATAAATAGCTCTAATAAATCCAGTCAGAGGGCTCAATCTTATGGACCTTCAACGATGAATCGAATGACGAGCAGCCAGCCCAGCAAGGCGAAAAATGGGTTTCTCCATTAAGGCAAATCGGTTGGAAAGGTCCATCCAGGGAACATCCACAATGCCAACTGCAGTATGGAATGGTTAATGCGCCTGCAAGCTCATTATGCAGCTCTGTAGTGCAGCTGAAGAAGCGAATTGCCGCAAATGTCACCAGAACAATCCCAAAAACCAGTATATTCCACATAATCAAGAGTTTGGGAGTGGGATTCATCTTAGCAATAATAATCCCGACGCAAATATATGCGACAGCTACGAGGGGTTGTTTCAACAAGTTGGTGCTAAACTGTATTAGCATCGGATCGCTATATCCCGAGACGTCGTTGTATTTTGAGACGTGATATTTCGACTGGTTGAAAAATTTCTCTTGTATGCTGAAATTTATTATGGCGGCTTGCATACACGTCATCGCTACAATGTTTAATAATAATACTCTGTTTCTGAGTATTCGACCCAAACTCGTGAAGAACCCTGAAAACAGTCCACTAAATATAAACAGTAAATATTTGAGGCTCACTGTTACCATCAACTGAGCCACGGCTCTCGATAACAGCATTACCAGAAGCGATGCTCAGCAATGAGTTAACAGACTTCCGCAGCAGAGTGCTGGGCATCACTTTAGGAAACATCGCTATCAAGCATCCGGTTAGTAAAAGAAGAACCGCAACTGAGAGCCAGGCTGAAAGAAAACGTTGAGCACACTTTATATATGTTATATATGAACGTACTTATTGTGACAAACACACTCTGTTTGGTGATAATCAATGGCAGCCAAGCGCTGTATATTCCTGTTTGCTTTCCCAGTCTTTGCGCCCCAAACGCTAAGGCTAAAATGGAAAATTCGGCGGATTAATCTGACTGTAATTTAGCTCAAAATGATCAGTTGAAATGTGGGAAAATAATCGTGTTTTATGGGTGTTTATTTTTTAGTACAAAAGGCAAATTTCAACTATTTCGTGTGTAGAAAGTTCGAAACTGCAAAACCCAAGAAAACGGAGAATGATGGCGCAAAGGGAGCTAATCGGCTTTATACGGGCTTACACAAATGTGCCAAAATTTATAATTTCCTATAAACGATTTTTTGAAAACTGCTACTCAACCTGCAACCGCTTCATCCCCAACTTGTTGGCCCAAAAAGTTGTAAATAAGGCATGAATTTGGTCGCCAAAGGTTGACGAGTAGCTATGGAAAAAATCGTTTATGAAAGTTATGGCGGGACATTTGCTTCACCCCGTTTAAGCTTGTTAGATTCATAATAAATAAAAGTTACTTTTGCTAATCGATTGATTAATAAATCTTCTGTTAGTTCAAGATTACTTAGTCGTTTGTTATCAATGAATTATTACTTTCGAGTGATCTCGAGTAAAAGTATTTTTTTCTAAATATAACAATAGTATACCTATGTATATGGGGCTCTGAGTTGCTGAAGAGTTGTCGTCAATATAAGTGATTCCAAGGGCAACAAACGATATGGTATAGAGAGCAACTACAATTTGGTGACAAATTACTATTATAAAAGCCACTGCATGATTATTGACGTCCATGGAAATATTCCTCGTTTCCGATAAGTTGGAAACTCTGCATAAAACCCGTCCTAAAATGCATTGGGGTTCGAGTCGATCCACGATATTTTGCATCCAGATTTAATTAATTAGTTACCATTTACAACGTTTATATCAGTTTCCTCTCGATTAAAGGGTTGATAAAATTCTGGAATGGCTAAAGTAAAACAAGATACGCCCAGATATATCGTAAAGGCACCCAGCCAGTTAACTCGATGCATTCGGTTGCCCCAATAGGCAATGAGCAATGCAAATCCTCCAACAAAAATTTCATTTATGTACAAGAGCCAGTCTAAAATGAATACATTTTAATCGAAGTTATATTTACTGAGTTGCTGCTCACCAATAGTGTCTTGGGGTATATTATAGTGCTGACTCCATATCTGTGAAGTCCCCCTAAAGTACTTAAGAGCAATGCCACTGAAAAATCCCGCAAAAGATAACACACCCACAAAAAACGTAGGTTTCGCGTACTTTTCTAAATTGAGTCTTTGAGTTAGACAGGGCAGAACACTGCAACCGCAATCTACATCGTTTCGATAGTCACCTACGGGGGCAATAAAACTACCCTCATCTCCGGTCGAATCTGTCCTTAAAAGTTCTGTTGGATGAACCATTTTTCATTTTCACGAACTAGGTTATAAATGAACTATTATTATTTTCAGGGCTAGCTAATCTATATGAGATGAAACCGTAAAAGATAATGGTGTTATCAGGCTTACATGAGCGCTATCAGTTATGAGTCATTTGACACAATTATTCGAAAAATGGTCGCATAAACTATGCCAAAAGCAACATCGCCGTGCAGATATCCCGGTCTGGGCGATATCAGGAAGAGTTTCCGACTTAAAAACTAATTACATAAATATTGTCCATTAATACCATCGATTAAGAACGAGCCCGCAGTTTCTAAAACGGCAGCTTCCAACTTTGTACAAGGAAGTTTTTAAAGTGTCTTGGAAACTTTTCTATTCGTTGCCGGGTATTAGAGTTGAAACTATACGCGAACGTCCTTCTATGAGCCAGAGTAAAATTGATCGATCTAAAATGGTTATAATAAGAAGATTTCAGGGACGGTTAAAGGGTCAAATAAAACGCAACAAATTCATTTCCTCTCCATCGTCGAGCCCCAGGGCTTATGCCACAAGGAGGATCTAACAAATGCGTTCCTACAGCACAATATACTTAAATGGATCGACGCGTTCTATTCGATCTCCATGGTTAAATATCCGACAATTTCCAAAGTTCCATCCCTGCAAAATATTATACGATAAAGTAAAGGTATAAGAGAGTTTCCTTTATGCAGCCTGTCTAACTACCGTATTAAGGAAATTTAGGTAAGAGGCAATTAAATAATCCCTTCAAAGCCCAACTTAGACGAATACCTTAGGGAATATGTTAAAATTTGAGATGGAATATAGGGAGCAAAAATTAAACTACAATAGTGCTCTTATGATTCGTTCTTGATCAGTGTATTGAATTGGGTTTCGCAGACTTCCTTATTTTAAGACAACTCGAACGGAGCTGCTTAATTGCAAGCTTCAATTTCAATGCGTTTAACGATTACTATATGATTTAGTTTGCTACTCCATTTCGCGACCCTTTATCAGAACGATTTGATATGCAACGAACTATGGGATAATATTAGGCATTCCATATTTTGGACGTCTGTAGCAATATGGTCCTAACGTTTCGCCAGCACGCATAGTTACCATCTTCAGAGGAAGCGAAAACTTCTCCCAGGGTTCATGCCAAGCGTTCTGCCGAAACGTTATAATGACATTTTTGTAGACCTAATAACCCGAAAACCAGCAGTTCTTCATTTTGTGTTAATTCAAATTAAGCCGTTCTGCATTACAGCTATTTACGTGCTGTTAAGCGAAATTTACATATTCATCTCGATTTCCACATACATAACTTTCAGTTATTTTCGTATTCATAAATTTCCCGTAAACACCCTCATATTCTTTATGCACCATCTTATTTCCCCAATAATTCAAAGACGAAACTCCGGGTTCAGATAATCTCTGGTTTCCCCAGTTTTTAAGTAAATAAACTAGCCATATATTTTATTTGATAACAGAATTGTGCGGGCTTTTGCATACGATATTAGCGGTATCGCGGACTCAGTTGACAGAATTTTGATTTAGGAGAAAAAAGACGTGCTTAAGTTTTACCCGAGCTGGGACCCAATAACTGAGGTAGCGATTTCATTAAGGTTTAGGATTTACTACCTTTGGAGTATCGACTTCTTTGTGCTTTAGAAGATTTATAACCAATCGGGTTATAAGGGGCACTAAATGCTGATTTTTTTTTGCGCATTGAGTTCGAAAAACATTTACAGTGCGCTTAACTGTAGATAGCAGTGAAGGAGAGATGAACCATAATGGAAAAATCCATTTATATTTGAGGCCAGCATGGGATTAAAGCTTTGACTGGAACCATTAAAATGTCGTTTCCATTATGAGTGCTTTCTAATATACCCCGTTAATAAAGTAAAAAAGAAAAAGCGATGATAGAGTCTGCTTAAGTGGCAATTGTTATGCAAAACGAAGCACGGAGCCAAATCGGCACCTGGGAAGGGCCTTTATCGTTTATCCTCATCAAGATACTTATTTTGCGGTCCGACAGGGTAAAGCCAATCTTTTGTGTTTTATTCTATTTTGCTGGCAAAGTCCCGAGGAATTACTGGCTTCTTGGCCTGGAAAGAATCGCCATCTAAAAGGTAGTTAGAATAATTGCCGCGATATTTAAGGCAGCGTCTGGAGTAAAGTCCCTGCGAATCCATACACGGCACTTGCAGTTTGCATCTTTTTTCAGAATCTTCCAGTTATTATTCAGATTTTATCATTTATTGTAATGAAGATAGATTGATGGTACTGTGTACTTTGAGACGGACAAAATGATACTCAAGATTTTTTATTGGTGTCCATAATTACCTTCTTCAAATGGATAACAGTGGCGTTAATTCCATCCAGACGAACTTGGAGCTTACGATACGTCGCACACTGGGGTATTAACAATATAAAACTGATCGAAAATTAAAAAATCAAGAATGCGCTGGTTTCTAACAATTAAGTCGACACAATACTTGTGTAATTTGGGCCTCGGTTTAAGATAGATGAGCAACCTGCAGGTGTGCATTTTAACATATTATATTAATTTTGATTTATTTTCCTGACTGCGTGTAATTGTTATTATATTTTTTCTTCCTGTTTTTCAGTCAAAATAACTTATATAATATAATAATTTCATATAAAGTTTCGGCGAGACAACAGCGCCATCACCAGATTTAAAATTCAACACAAACCCATAATTGGATAACATTAGATTCTTTTTAGGCTTAAATTTAAAACTGACAGCTTCTTTTATATAAATAGGGAAAGCGTTATAAATCTTAATACATTGATAATATGGACTTTTTTCGTAAATATTTAATCTCTGTTCTGGATATCTTATGTAATATAAAGCTCTGGTTGGATACCTTGTCTGTTGTAAAGTTTTCTCAAATAGATTTCTATTTCCAAACAAAAACAATGTGCATTCCTGAATATAAAAGCGCAAAAATCGTAAGAAATCCCATTTTTCTGAACTTTCGTCTACACGTTTCTATAATTCATATTACATATTAACCGCAATACCCTTTTTTGACACCCAAATATTCTATTAAGATCTCGACAATTACCATAAATTATAACTTCATCGTATATACTTTCCTGACTGTGTTTCAATTCCAAATCAAAATTAATTCCTGGGTTTCAGTCAGTTCAACAAAATTTAAACCTAGCATTGACAAATTAGACACGACTAATGTAACTTACAAAATAGGCTGTTTGAATTGTGATAACACATACATAGATCAAACAGGACAATATCTAAAGAAAAGAATATACGAACATAAGTATAGCCTAAGAGAAAATAACGAAAATGGTACAGCATTAGCACAGCATGCACAACAGAAGTTGCATAATTTTGAATTTGATAACACAAAAATACTTATTAACGAGAGTAATTATAATAAGAGAAGAGTCCATGAAATGATACAGATTAAAAAACATAACAATGCTATGAATTTCAGATCGGATACCGACAATCTTAGCTCAGTATACTGAAGAATTTATCATACATTAATTAAATGAAATAAACATAGAATATTAACTAACACCCGGTATATTGAAGAATTTTGCAAACCAGAAATAATATTCTCATAATTCAAAGAAAAATAGCTGAAAGTAAAAGAAATCAATATAAACAATATTTTTATTTAATACTCCAATGTATGCCAAGGCTTAAAGCAGCAACAACGAAGAATTCTAGTCTCTTCCCAAATTTGATTGTCCTGACTAATCACCTGTTAGGCCTAATTAATTTTAGAATGTTTTAAAGTGTTGCAATTGTGATGTAGTTTAATGTGTGATATGATGAGGCTGTTGACAAACTGTGATTGTTTTTTAAATTAATGAATTAATGTTATTTTAGAAAAACTTATGATGGTGGAAAAATACACCGAAACGTATTTTAATTGATAAATAAAGACAATAAATGACTGAAACACAGGAATTAATTTTGATGATAAATTACAACACCGTACCTCATTACAACATTAGCAAAGTATAAAGTTTTTATGATATCCAAATTCACATATTTATTAATTATTCTTATTGTAGAACACACTTTGTTAAGTTTACATACTAAATACCCTTCATCCCAGGATAGAATATCATCGATTAATATCCCTAGAAATTTAACATTGCTTTGAAGCTTTACTTTGTGTTTATTTATTTCTCTACTGTTTGGTTCCTCTATTCTGGAATGTGTTGTTTTGAAAAGGATAACATTTGTCTTAGCATTATTGAGTATTAATTAATTTTTTGTAAACCAATTATTTATTGCAGCCATAAAATGATGCACATGGTTTTCAATATTTACGTTTCTCTTATAAGCTAGGACAATATTGATGTACAAATAATAAGAAATAATCTATTTCCAGGTTTAAAAAATTCAAAAAAATAAATATTAAGTGTTTCAAAAATTTGTTATTGAAATAACGATAGCAGCATTAAAATAATGTTAAAATTTAGGGTTTCAAAATCTCTCTCTAGAAGCTTGTATGCAAGTCAAAGGTCCAACAGCAGCCTAATATTTCAGAAAATAATGCGTGCAAACTTTTGAAACTTAATAGGGGCGAAGTTGCCAAGTCTATAGAGTTTCAATTAATCTATTTTAAATAGAAATAATATGCTTTTATTTAAACATTAAATAGGAACATATTCTTTCAAATATGAAAATCATTTGGGAGGATTGGATCAAGTATACTTACAAATTCCGATGTAAAATTCTCTCTGAAATATTTGACTGTTGCGGAAATTTTGACTAACCCTGTAGAATGCAGATAAATAGTCATAATTCAAAATATGAAATGTTTACTTACTATATGATCCGCTTTTAATTTAAAACGTTTTTCTTGCATCACTGTGTGTCGATGCAACGATGTAACTTTTTTTATGACCTCAGCCCCCTGCAGATCAAAGTTCTGGATTCGCCACTGGATGAGGACAATGCAAAATTGACTAGAAGTCAATGCAACAGATCAGGTTTAAATAGAAGATGGCACGCCTCTGAAAATAAAAGAGTAATGCTTTCATTGCCTCACTAGATATTTCATACGCGCGATTTAGTAAATTAGAGCGTCTTTTGCTCATTCCTTCGTAGTTG